AGGTTCCTGATTAAGAACTTAGATGCTACAAGGAAGCTATGAGAAGTCGAAATAAGATTGAATGGCAGAAATTCTTAGATGATGATATGAAATCTCTTCAAGATAGTAACACTTGGGAGATGATCGAGAAACCTGTTGGTGCCAAGTTAGTCAATTATAAGTGGATTTTCAAGGTTAAGGAAGGAATCAAATAAGAGATGTTGAAGAGATTTAAGGCAAGATTGGTTGCTAGGGGGTTCACTAAAAAAGAAGGATTCAACTTCAATGATGCATTCTCACCTGTGGTAAAGCACAAATACATTAGAATGTTGTTAGCCATGGTGGCAAAGTTCGACCTAGAACTTGAACAGATGGATGTGAAGACAACCTTCCTATATAATGATCTAGATGAAACAATCCTAATGAAACAACCTGAAGGGCATGCAGAAAAGGGCAAGGAGAATTATGTGTGCAAGCTGAATAGGTCTTTGTATGGCCTGAAACAATTTCTTTGATAATGGAATAGGAGATTCAACAAGTTCATGACATACATAGGTTTCATTATGAGTCAGTTGGACCACTGTGTTTACTTCAGATTTTGACTTGGAAATTCACTTGTTATTTTGTTGGGTTATGTGGATGACATGTTCATAGCAAGCAACAATGTCGAGGATATATTAAAGGTGAAGGAAGAACTTGATAAGGAGTTCGACATGAAGGATCTTGGAGTTGCGTCTAGGATTCTTGAGATTGACATCATAAGATAAAGAAAGCAGTTGAGATTATGCTTATCTCTAGAGACATACCTGAAGAAAATTCTCGACGAATTTGGTATGTCGAATTCAAAGCTTGTTGTAACACCGATAAATCCTCAATTCAAGCTAAGTGCGACTCATGTTTCGACTAGAGTTGACGATGTGCATGTTGTAGTCGAAGTCTATTCAAGTATGCAGTTTTATAAGTTAACTTGTTACTTAAGTTAATTTAGTGCTTAATTTAGCTTATGGTTTAAGTTAGATTGTGATTTATAAATAAGGTGCTCTCTCAGGTTGTTGGGAGAGGGTTAAGGTTTGTTAATATTTGCTTGTAAACAATTTGTCCTAATTGTGAAAATAATAGTAAAACAGTTTTAACAAATTCCTGTTCTTGTTCTTCTTCCCTCTTCTCTCTCTTTCGTAAACTTAAAAAAAATTTCTTGTGTTTTTTCAATAAACTTAATATTTTTCATAATTTTATTCGTTCTTTGTGGTGTGTTTATCACAACAGAAAATATTAAGTTTTTTTTATTGAAATCTCAACATATAAAGTTCATTAATAATTGATCTTACTTGATCAGAAAGGAATCAGTGACCTGCCACGCATCGTTGATCTACTAGCTGCTCACTGAAGGTATGGAAGAGGAGGGGGTGTACCTGAAATACACTCTGATGCCAAAGTAAGTGCCGAGCAAAGTGAGAGCAAGTACAGAGAGAGAGAGAGAGTTAAGTTACCTGACCCTTTAGTGAAGTGGGTATTTATAGTGAGCCCCCAACGTAGGACTAACGGTTATCTAGCATTGGGCTGGGCTGCCAGACCCAATGTTAGTAACTGTTAGAGCTGACGTGGCGTCGTGAAGACCAGCACGTGGTCTTCACCCTATGGTAACTGTTCCGCACTATCCAAGAGGAGGAAAACCGAATCTCCAAGACGTGGGTAGTTACTTTATGACGTGTCCCTGTGTGAGGGGCATGTAGAGAACGTGGAGGGAGGTCCGAGGAGCTCCCTGAGCAGGCTGGACTCTGCCTGACGACGGAGAAGAAAGAAGCTGGCTGGTCGGTTGCGAGGGTCCTGCCCGACGGCTGTTGGTCTGTGCCCGTCAGGGGGGAAGGTTGTGTCCGACGAGTCTTCTGCCCATCAGCGTGGTTCTATTGGGCCCAACCCCAATGAATTTTGGGACTGCTTGGTTATGAGTTAAACGTCGGTACAGTCCAAAATAATAACGTATCAGTATCGTGCGTTTTGTCGCAGTTTTTTTTAACACTTTGAAATTCATCAGTTTTGCAGCTAAAATTTATTAAATTTATCATATGCATAAATAACCATAACAAAGCTTATATTACAGAAAACAGAAGTTTTAATATCCATGTGGAAATGCCTATTATACAATATTTTCGAATAACCCCTTGATTTAATGTTAGTAGGAGAAACAATGCTAACAGCTACTAATGGAAATGTTGGTTCTTTATTTGTGTTTTTTAGTACACTATTTACAAATGAGTGAAAAAATAATGAGGAGATTAATTGGAAAGTAATTAAAATGATTTAATTAGATTTTTATTTATTTTTAATTTTATGCTATGTGTCGAAAAAATTAATTTCAATTAATGACTATTATAAAATAACTTTACAATATGATGTATTTCAATTAGTTTATTGAGTATGATGATTTTTTTATAAATATTTTTCATCTATATTTAATTTTGTTTAAAGGAAACAAAAAGATATATATATATATATATATATATATATATATATATATATATATATATATATATATATATATATATATATATATATATATATATATATATATATATATATATATATATATATATATATATATATATATATATATATATATATATATATATATATATAATACTATTAATCAATTATCAACCTGCATTCTACCAAATTAGATTGTAATTTTAAATTACTGATGTGACATGACAAATGATAATAATAATAATATAAAATTATTTTATGCATATAACTATTAATAAAACGTATATTTTAAAATCGATATGTTTGGATTTAAAATTTTAATTAAAATATTTTTGAAATTACAAAAAGCATAAAAGATATAAGAGAAAATCTCAAAATCAAATTTCTTGTCAAATCAATTGCATTTATGAGTTTATATAATTATTAACAATTTTCCTTGTGAATTCACAATTTTAAAATATATGGTCTAATATATCATATTAACAAATTTTAAATTATTAATAATTCATAAAAAATCTCGAAAACTTAAATAGTATATTATCTGATTTTGAGATTATTTTTGGTTTTCTTAAGATTATTTAGTAATACTATATACTTTTTGCTATATTTTAATTTTTAATTTTTAAAACATAATTTATACATTAATTATAAAAACAGTTTTGAAGAAAAAATAAAATAAAAATATTTATTAATTTTACATTTAAAAATTGTTTTTAAGTTGCATAATATTAAAAATTTAATATTAATGAAAAGGGTATCTTTTTACTTTTGTTTTTTATTTTTAATTTCCAAAACTAAGAAATCAAAAACCAAAATTTCAAAAATTTATTTTGATTATTTTATTTTATTTTTAAAACTCTTAAAATAAAAAATAATGTTTTAAAGTTAAATTACCAAATAAAAAATTACAAAACCAAAAGTAATATGGTTTCAAATTTCTTTCCAATTTAATATAAGATGTCATAATTCACATAAATATATTACACTTATCAATATGTTGTTGTTGGGCCAAAACATCTAACAGAAGAATTTAGAGATAGATAATATCTTTTTCTTAATTTAAAAATAATATAAAAAGATTAATCTAAAAAATAAAAAAGATCTAGGTGAAAAGGATGTTGAGAGATTTTTGTAATTATTAATAAAATATATTTTTAATTTTGAGAATTAAAAAATTATATTAGGAAGGATTTAGAAATTTCCAAATTTTTTAATAAATTGTTTATATATATAATATATTATTATACTATTCCAAAAATTAAAAATAATTAATAATAAATTTTAATTTTTCATTTTGTACAAAATTATTATTTAAAAATATGATATAGCAAAAAAAATCTTATAGGATTTGATCAAAACCAAGTTGAATCCGAAATTTCTAAAATCTCTTATTTTTGAAATAAAGTAAGACAATTCATAAATTAGAAAAATAAACATTAATGATTGGTGTTTTAATATATTCTCTCAACCTACTTTATGAATGTTTACTTGAAGCCACCATTTAACTCTTGTTACAGTCAAGATAACACTGGTGTTGCGATTCTGATTGCTGTTGAAATTTTTTTTTATAAAAACGGTAAATAATTGTATTGGTAATAATATCAGACATAGTAAGTAATAATATCTGCAATACCGTTTTGTCGCAGTTATTTTTGCGATAACATAGCTTTTTTTAGAACCTTGGTTATAACCTCTTTTTGATGTTGTCTTGTTGGCATATTGACACGGACATCACTTGTCATATCTCATGCTGTTCTTGTGATGTTTTTGTTTCTTTTCTTTCTCAAACTCAAAAGTCCCTACCTGTGAATTTTCTCTGCACATAATACCTTAACTTTTGACTTGACTCTTCAACTACCAGCGCAAAGGACAAGGTTTGTTAGATAAATAAACCTCTTGCTCCTTAATTTTTAGTTTAATATTAAAGACTTTTTTGGAATTTGGATTGTCTCATTTAAAGTTATTCAATCCACTTAAACTACTCTTTAAATTATGTAACACCGACACCTTTGAAAAAATGCATGTTCATGTCAGGATACCAGCACAGACACTTATAATTATATTTAATTTATTCATGTTTTTAAATTATTATCGGTGTATTTCTGAAATGGTTTTGAAGAGTTTGTTTTGGACATGTCCATAATCTATTTTCAACTTATTTTCATAAACTCTTTGAGATAGTTTATAGAAACAACTTATACGAAAATATTGGCTTTGTTTTATCTTTTGTGTTAAAAGTAGATTATACGAAAGCACTTATATAATAAGTGATTAAGTTGTTTATCCAAACATGATGACTTAAAGTAATGATGTGGAGAATGGAGAGTACTATTACATGTTAAATGTAATGCTTCCCGTGAGTAACCTAATGCCACTTTTTGTTGGTTGGCAACTTGGCATTTAATTAGTCATAAGTGCTTTTTTAGTCTTAATCTCTTAGTTTCTTTGTAATGTTGTTTAAAATCAATAAAATGAATCAAAATTAGTATGAGTTTTCATAGCTTGATGTAAGTGATTTTTCTGTATCAGCATTCAGCATGGGATGCCTAGTGTCAACTCCGAAGGATACAGGTGGAAACAGAAGGCGACCCGGGAGTATTGGAGAGGTTTCGGTTTATGTTCCTGGTTTAAGGATTCCGAAACCTGTTGATTTTGCTCAGTCACTCGGTGATTATTTGTCGAAGAGTATAATCGAGAGGTTGTCTGCTCTTAGAACGCGGATAGTTGTGATGGCTAGCCAGGAAGGCCCTACGATTACAAGAACAAAAAGAAAAAGCGTTACTCAACATGGTTAGTTTTTTTTTCTAGCAATAGTAAAATTGTTTTATGATATATAATCTGCGTTATAGTTTATTGATGTATCAGTGTCGTGTCTCGTGTATGTGTCTGGTGATTTTTTTTCCAGGTGGTTCGACGTTGGCTGATCTTCTCCAGGCTCTTGAAGATTACTTGCCAGTTCTTCTAGGATTAGTTAAAGACGGTAAAACTCGTGTTTGTTTGTTTGTTTGTTATTACATGATATATGCGCTCGCTCGCGCGCCAATCATTTACCGTTTTTATGGTGTAGGAAGCCATTTACAATACAAAGTACAATTTGTTTGGATGAACCAAGAAGACGAAAAAGAGGTAAGCGACTTCTCAAGTTCATATATGTTTCTGAGTTTAATTTGAAAAGTGCTTAGTTTACGGAAGAATGGCGATGAGGATTGGTTATCTTTGCAGGAAACAGCCATGTCGAATGCTTGGTACGAGGTGTTGTCGGTTTTGCATTTGATGGCAATGCTATTGCACTCAAAGGCTAATTTGTTGCTGCTTCCAAGATCATCTAGTGATGGTCATCAGCAAAAAGTATCAGATGGTAAGTAAATGCTTACAGATGCGCGCGTGCGCGTGTTCACGCTCATTTTAAACTGAAAAGTATAAGTTAATATGTTCTATGTTTCTCTTTTCTTCCGTTTTTGTTCGAATCCAATTATATGAGATTAAGCTTTTAGTATCTACTAACAGAAAACCGACGAACTTCTATTGATATCTTCTTGAAAGCTTCGGGATATCTCGATTGTGCGGTCAAACATGTTCTTCCACAGCTACCTGCAGAACTCAGGTATGCAATTAATTGATTATCACACTTTTATTTGGTTAGTCTAAATAACCTTCCTCATTCCATTCATGTACGTTACTTCGGTTCTGATTTTAGGCGAAACTTACCGGTTGACTTAGCGGAAGGAGTTCTTCGAGCACTCTCTCTACAGGCATTAGGACAGGTATTGATGGTCTTTTGTATGAGCTTTGGGTCATGTGCGATAGTCTGTCTTGCACGACCTCAGAGGCACCCTTTTACTAATGAATCTATCATAATATCATGATCATGTTTTAGGGTGTAGATATACAGCTTGGAATGGCAATTGATAGTGCTAAAGCAACTCTTGCAGTGAAGCGTAGACTTGCGTGCGAGATGCTGAAATGTTGGCAACAGGTACCGATACTTGACTCGGTTTCTCTTGGATCTGCATTGTATCTTAGATAACATTGATTTTTCGGTCGGTTTTACAGGCGCAGGATAACATTATGAACCTTCCACTGGCAAATGGTTGGGGCGAAAAGCATCACCTACTTGTGAAATGGAAATATGTTGAAGCTAAGGTATATGCTTTTCTACCCTTTTCTACACTCCCGAGCCATACTCATCGAATCACGCGTTTAGAGACGGATTTTCTGGTTTATTACGAACTCCTGATATGTTTTGTTGTAATGATTTACCAGGCTGCAGCATATTATTACCACGGTTTGATTCTTGACGAGGGAAATACGGAGAAATCTCATGGAATGGCTGTCGCCGCTTTGCAAGCGGCTGATGAATACTTCAAAGAAAGCAAGAAGTTATGCGAGGCATTCAACGCGGCTCCTCCATTGTCAAGGTTATCTATTGTCTTCCCGTTTACACAAAGCTACGCTTATCGCGCGCGCGAAACCTATGTGATTATGCATGTAAAGAATACTATAACTTGTAGTCATGATGCAGAAATCCACCACTTTGGGGGACCATGAAATATCTCTCTGAAAAAATTCCTAAGGATACTTCAAGCAAGGTGCGAATAAACCGCGATCTATACACTCACGAAAGGTAAACAATTGATGGTGTGTTTGTAATTTCAATACGATCGTTGACTATAAGAACAACGTCCTTTATAGTGTCAGTGTCATGATTCTGGTGTCCGTGCTTCGTAGACAACGTGTCACTCATTTAAGAACCAAAAAAGACTATTTACTTGAATAACAAGTAAGAGGACTAATGAAAACATGTATTGTTATGATTTTATTTTATTTCAGGATTATGGAAACAGCTCCAACTTTGCCTGAATTTTCATTGGCATTGAAACCAGATGAGTATCAACCTCCACCAGTGGACTCTTCTTGGAGAACAGAGAACATAAAAGTGGCACAAACTCATTCTAACCATGTCAATGGTGACAAATGATAATTGGAAAAATGTTTCTTCCATTCTAGTTAATAGGAAAAATAAAGTTTGTTTTTTTCTATTCTCTTTTCTTCTTTTTTGTTGTACTTTAATATATTGATTCTTTTCTTTTAATACACATAATTGAAAGATACTTTGCAATTAGAGATTCTAAGAGATTCTATTGTCTTTGAGTGAAAACTTGCCAACCATAGCAGAAAAGGTCCAAGAGCAACTAGTTCCATCCTGTTTAAGAATTGGAAGACCTTTGGGAGTATCTAAAGGGATTGAAAAATATTTTTAAACACATTAGTTTGTGGTTCATATATTGAAAAGAGTAAAGATTGACAAACACTTTGTTAAAAAATAAAGGATGTTCTTATGAACTTAGAAGACTATTTTTTTATAACCCATTTTTCAGTCTCTTATGGTTCTCTCTATTACTTGTCCAAACATACCGTTTCTATCAATGTATTTTAACCTTTGATATTTCAATTTCACAACAAGTGACGTCCACTATGACGATAAGGGATTAAGTCTACAAACAAGCACCATGAGTTTTAAGTGAGATATCAAGAATTTTTCTAGAGACAACGATTTTAGGTTGCAGAAAGCAAAGATGGAAGCAATCTTAATTCAACAAAACTGGGTAGAAACAAATTTGTTGTGGAACAACTGGCATAATTTAACAAGATCATTGATGACTTGCAAAATATTGAGGTGAAGCTTGATGATGATGACAAAACTCTACTTTTATTAAACTCATTACCTAATTTTTTTGATCAATTGAAGTATGCTCTTATTTATGGTAAGGAAGATACTATTACTTTGGATGAAGTCCGACCGATTCTGAGATCCAAAGAATTTTTCAAGGTAAAAGATTTGAAGATTGACGAAAAGGAAGATTTAAGCTTAAGTGTCTCAAGAGGAGGAAGTGAGTATAGAAAAGTGTCCAAATTAAAAAGGTTTAACAAGTCAATGTTAAAATGCTTTACTTTGAGTGTCCCAATGATGTTCTTATTTATGGTAAGGAAGACACTATCATTTTAGAGGAGATCCAATCAACTATAAGAACCAAGAAGTTAACTAGGTTGATGATAGTGGTGAAGATTTGAGTATTTCAAGAGGTAGATGTGAGAGTATAGGAAACCAAAAAGGAAAAAAAATCATGTCAAAGTCGAAGTCCAAGGGATTGAATAAGTCTAAGTTAAAATACTTTACTTGTCATAAAATCACACATTTCATGATGGATTGTCTCGAGAGGTAGGGGTAAGTGTGATTATGTTTATATTACCGTTGCCTCAAAGGAGGATTGTTATGAGACCGGTGGTACTCTATTGGAGACAAGTTTGAAGACATCAAAGAAGGTCATGGACTTGAAATGCTATTATCACATGTGCACAAGGAAAGAATACGTCAAGACTATGAAGTTGAAATAAGAGGGGGTCATTTGACTAAATAATAATAAGACTTGAAAAGTTTATGGTGTTGATATGATTAGACTTAAATGTTCGATGAGTGCGAGTTTCTTCTAGGAAATGTGAGGTATGCTTCCAAGCTTAAGTGAATTTTTTTTTGTCCATAGCATGTGTTATGATTTAGAATATTACACTAAAATTGAATCCAAAGTGTTTAAAATTTTGCATGGTGTATTGATCATGGATAAAATGTATAAAAGGCGTGAGATGTATATTTTAGACCAAACTATAAAATCTAAGATTATGACATGCTAGTGAAAGAAGTTTGGTTGAACTAGTGAAATAAGGTTTGCTAGTGATCTGATGTGGACCAGAGGTGGCTGATATCAGACTTACTAGTCTAGACTCAACGGTAAACTTCTGTAGATGGTAGAAATTTGGTATATGGTTCAAATTTAGGGGATGAGAGAGAGGTGGTACATGCGAGGTGGTACATGCATATACTCCGACTCCTAAGTTAATGACTATTAAAGGTAGAATGATATATTTTAGGTTGAAAAGAGTGTGTACCTGAATTCTATGTTTGCTTCCCCCTTTATAGGTGGTTTATATGGTTTTGAGAGTCTAGAATCTTATTGTGTAGGATAGATGTCCGAAGGTACATATGTCAGGGTATTATTTGTCATGTCATCTAACAGTCTTTTTTCAATCACTCACCTTGGTTAGGTGTTTCATGACTATGTGTGTTCCTGAATTCTAATGATTTATTTATCCAAAGCGCTTATTCATTGTGTTCTTCGATCTCTTGGTCTTGATATAACGGTCCCTAATGTTAGGTATCAAATGAAATACTCTCTCTTATGGACCCATATTCGTATGGAACCTTTTAAACATATCTACCTACCTAATTAGGAAAAGTAGCCTCGTAAGCCTAGCTCGATAAAGTTGGGGTGTGGCTTGTAATCTCAGATTCCATGGCGGCCTTTTGGTCTTCTTTAGTTGACGTTCCATCCATCACTAACATGTCTATTGCTTTTGATTTTTTCGTATTCTTCTTTTTCCTTGTTAGGATCTAGTAAGACTCAATAGGATTTATTACATTTGTTGTCAGCCACATGTTGTCTATAGTGCGTAAAGTGATGACCAATCATTAGGTATAACATGACTACTTATTGGGAACTATAAATATCATTATTACTTTGCCAACACCATATTGTAACACCCCAAAATTTTCTCTTTCGTTTTTAATCGTAACTGCCTTATGTTTCGTTCATTTTGCATTATCATTGTGCATATCACGACATTGTTCTTGAGACATGAGATCAAGTTGTTTCTATGGCTCAAGACTTTCTTTTATTCCAAGTTTGTAAGCAACAAGTATCAACGGCTTCAATGTTTATTTTGCTCAGTGATCGGGCACCTAATTATATTTTTTCAACAAGTTATTTTGAGTGCAGGAGATAGTTCGCAGTTTATTTCAGGCAGTATACAGGAGCAATATCAAATAACAAGTTTAAAAGATCAAAATATGCTCAGAACATGTGGCAACATGCAATTCTCTAAGTTTCCCTCTTTAAGGCGCCAAAATTTGAATTTTTAATGAGTTAACTGGTTAACCATTTGCTAGGAAAATTTGGTTAACCGGTTAATCAATGAAAATTTTGCCCAGATTGTTCATTTTCAGTGCAACAACTCTTGGGTACTCATTGGTGTTCATCTTTTTTGTTTCAATACTTGTCTGCATTACCTCGACACTTATCGTGTTTATTCCTTGACACTCATATGTTTCCACCCCTGAGGAAGCCATCACTCGTTTGTGTTGACTCCTTTTCCCGATAGATCTTGATCATACCTCTTTTGGTTTATTCCCCAGTGTAGTCGTCTCTCCCTTTTGCAGGTCGCAAATTTGTATGGTTATTTTGGTATTCAATCCCTTTCTATCTCGAATGTCTGAGAGGCGTCACTCTTCATACTTTCATATTTAAGTCGATTGAATAGGGGAAATTGTAACACCCCAAAATTTACCCTTTTGTTTTTAACCGTAAAATGGTATAATAGAAACCCTTTCCGTGGGCATCCAGGGCGTCCCTTTCCGTGGCTATCTCCTCGCGACCCTTCTGCGCAGCTTCTTCGAGCTCCCTATCCCGCTTCTCTTGAAGCTTCTTGACCTTTTCTTCCAGGGCTGCCACCACAGCTTGAGATTCCTTCAGCTCAAGCTCAGCGGAGAGCCGTCCTCGGTGTACACCATAACCATCTCCAGGATCTTCATCAAGGCATAGGCATCCTGCATAAGCATGGCCTGCTTGCTGGGATGATCCATTTTCTCGAGCTTTAAAGATTCTACCCGAGGAATGAACAAGGACCCCTTGAAGAACTTCTTATTATGTAGGCAGGGAGACATCTCGAACTTGCTTTTAACGGACTCCCGATTGAGATCCACGATTTCATTTGTACGGGCACGCTTAAGCCTCGAACTCACGGGCATATGGGACGTCTGAGTGGTCGGCGGGGTAGACGAGGAAGTCTCCGATCCTATCTAGGGAAGAGTTGTTCGCTGACCAAGGCAACTTCTTCCTAGGGCCGCACCGCCCTTCATCTTTCCATGAGAATTCTTTACCATCCTCTCCTGCGCCGAAGACATTGTACCTGCAAAAACAACGAACAACATTAGCACGTGGAAAGAGGAATATCTCGAATAAAATAAGAAAAAGTGAGAAGCTACCCAAGAGTTTAAGAGTATTCTCGCGAGTGCTACACTCGAGGAGCTCTTTAGTATTGATATACTGGACTTCCACCTGTAGCCCTTCATCTTCTTCATAAAGCACCTGCCCAGCGCGAATCACGCACTAGGCGGGGAGGAAACTGTCCACAAAGGCCACCAGCTTAGCATAGCTAGCCCGACTATCGTCGACCAACTGATGAGGAGTAACAATGTACTCATCAGTCGAGCAGGTAAAGTGATCCCCACTCCAGCAGAAGGGGAACGTCAATAATCTCCGGGCAACTATCTTGCCTTCCTCGTCCGTAGAGACCTCCCACGCAAAGGTCGAGTCAGCAGCTTTCTCCGACACATGATCGATCATATAAAACCTCTCTTTGAAGGTCCGAATAGATTCAGAGAAGGGTTTGAATAATTTCCTTCCCTGTTTCAAAGAAACCCAACCGAACTTCCTCCCCGACACCAGTTGTTGAAGATGGAAGATAGTGAAGAAGAGTGGAAGAATGGTCCTGATCAGCAAGTACTCGCACACCAATTCATACGCCCGCATAAAGGTAGTGGAATTTGGATGCAGTTGGGGGGGGGGGTGCCAAGTTCAAATGTACGAAAACTGCCCGTGAAAGCCTGTGAAAGATAGCATCAGCCCTGTCTCTTTGAAAACATACTCGTACATGGGAAATCTCTCCCCGCACATCGAGCATATACGGTCATTCTCTGTAGGGAAGTGGACCCTCTACTCTCCCTCTGGCCCCATCGTGGTAAACGCATCCCTGGTGTATGAAGCGAAAAGCGAGGCATGCTCCATCGGCTCGGCCACAGTCCACTCCTCGGCCGAGGTCCTCGCAGTAGTCACCTCTCTAGCCTCAGAGGACGAAGAGTCATCA